ACATTCTGCTAAAATCATCTATGAAAATAACATAGTAACGACTATCTGCAAGTGATTGAGTTCTTTGAGGACCAGCAACATCTGAGTGGATCAACTGCAGCTTATTGGAGGCTCTCCAACTTGACTTGGGAAATGGATTTCTTTTTTGTTTGCCAAATTGACAGGCATTACAATATGGTAAATGATCTGCAAAGGTTGGTAAATCATTTGACAACTCCTTCTTCTTCATCAACAACATATTTGAGAGGTGACAATGGCCTAGTCTCTTGTGCCAAGTCTCAGTCACATTCTCACCTGTGGAAACAGCAGCTTCCTCCTCCTTGACTGGTTCAAATGAGAAACTCTTGCCTCTCATTTTTGCTTTGATGATTTCCTTTCCATTTGCATCTTGAATGAGACAAACTCTATCTTCGAAAAACACTTTGAATCCTTTTTCAATGAGCTGTCCAACACTTAACAAATTTTGATCAATATCAGGTACAAAAAGAACATCTGAGATTGACTTTGTACCTAAATTTGTTAGGATAGAAACAGTTCCTATTCCCTTTACCAAAATGTGGTCACCATTACCGATTCTGACTTTTGTGATTGGTGTGGGTTTTAACTCCTTGAAAAGACTTCGATCATGAGTCATGTGGTTTGTACACCCACTGTCAATCAGCCAGCTCTCACTAGATTCATTGCTGGAGAAACAAGTGGCTACGAACAGTTGATCCTCCTCTTCTTCGTCAACAACTTGAGCATCTGCCTCCTGCATTTGATTCTTATTTCTGCATACCACTGCCTCATGCCCAAATTGGCTGCATTTGGAGCATTTTGCATCTGGCCTCCTCCAACATTTGAAAGGAGGGTGACCTTTCTTCCCACAATGGTGACAAGGAGGATATTTCCCCTTATTTCCATTCCTGCTACTTGAAGAAAAAGAACCAGAATTACCTTCTTGCACTTTCTTATTTTTACCAGCTTCATGATATTTTGCAGGTAGAGCTCCTTCAATGACACCTTCTTGCCTCATGGCTCTTCTTTGCTCTTGTGCTTGCAAAGCATTCAACAATTCAGCAAGAGTGATGCTTGACATATCCTTAGTATTCTCTAAGGATGTAATTGTGGCCTCAAATTTTTCAGGAACGGTTACAAGGATCTTTTCAACAATTCTTGACTCTAGAAAAGAAGAGCCCAGCAATCTGATCCGGCTTGCTGTACTAAGAAGCCTCTAAGAATACTCCTTAATAGATTCATCATTCTTCATCTTCTGCATCTCGAAGTCGCGAACTAGATTCAGCACCTGCATTCCTCGAATGCGTTCATCTCCCTTGTATTCAGTCTTGAGATAATCCCATATCTCCTTTGCTGACTTCAAAGTCATGATACGAGTGAAAATAGTGGGTGAAACTGCAGCGAACAAACAGGCTTTTGCTTTTGACTTCTTAGTTTTCTTCTCCTTCTGCACTTTTATTTGTGCCATGGTGGGATTAGCTGGAAGAGGCAGAATTTCATAGTCCTCTTCCACTGCTTCCCAAAGATCCAACGCCTCCAAGTACGTCTCCATGCGTACCTCCCAAATTGGGTAGTTTTCTCCATCAAATACTGGCGGAGCAATTGACGTAAGATTCGCTTCAGTTTCCATGGCGCCTCAAATTGACACACAGATCCCTTTAGGAAGATAGCTCTGATACCAGTTGTTGGTTTTAGAAATGAAGTGCATTTTATTGATGTGTGACAATACAACTTATAAAGCAAAATAATAAAAAGAAACTGCTCACTACTACATAACTTCTCATCAAAGTAGAAAAGAAAACTGCTCACTATATAACTACCCATTAAAGCAAAAAGGTAAACTGCCCACTACATAACAACTCATTAAAACATAATGAAAACTGACTCCTAAATAATTAAAAATATCAAATTGCAGTTTCTAAAGCATGATCTCTAACAATTAAATTAGTATAAAAATCATGAAATATTATTGAATCAAGCCTTGCATGTATTTATAGCCTTTGTAGGCAGCGTGTTGTATGTATCATTGGTGTACTCCATACCTTGTAGGTGATGCCATGTCAATGACTAATTTGTGGCACCCGGTTGATGCCCAAAAACCGTGTGGCATGTCTTAGAAATCTTGATTTTGTAGATCGTTAACCTTTGGAAAAATTAAAGTTAAATCAGAAAAAGATTAAAGCCATCTAGTTGATGATTAAGTTAGTAATTGAAATATGGTAAATCGACTAGAAGCCTAGAATCGGAAGCATGGAGAGTACATGTATTTTATTGGAACAATATATGTGAATTCTGATTTTTGGTACCTATTGCTTAGGCGTGCTAATCTCTAAAAGTGTGGGCTGATTGGTGATATTTGGAATGCTCGATTAAAAAGCTAAAGTGTCTGGTAAGTGTTTGGTGGTATTACCTAATGTGGCTATTAGCTAGCGTATAGAATTGTGAATTGTTGCTCACATGTGCCTTGGATTAATGTGATGTTATATGCTACATGTTATGTGGCAGCTTGGTACGGAAAGTACATGAAAGATATGCTATTATGATGATGATCTAGTCATGCATATACACCTCATAATTCATTTGTTTCTTGTTTGTGTGTGAAGCATATCATGGCATACATGCACGAATTTCATGATGTTCATGGATTAGAATATTTATATAAATATGCATACGATTGAGCACGCATCATATAGGCATCCCTTCGGTACCAGGGTATGGGACACTTGGCTTCAGTCCGCATAGGCCACAGTTGGAATTCACCTTTGATGGGAGCCATTATGGAATATCCACTGTGTATGTACGCGCACGACGGTGCTATGAGCGTAATGATGGCGTTATATACGCACTATGAAATGTTAGTACGTGCACGAAGGTGCTATGAGCGTAATGATGGCGTACGCACTATGATTTGTTAACGGAAAATAAAATGTTGATGTGACTGTTTATAATTTTGTGCCTAGTTTAACACTGTTGCATTATTGGTTTTGCTATCACACTACTGGGATTTTTCTCACCCCTTTGGGGCTGCAATTTTTATAAAATTGCAGGAGAACGTAAGAGCTTATGAGGACGTGATTATATGTATACTGCTGTTAATTGCTGCTGCTTGGATTGTCTACTGTTGACTATTTATTTGATGGATGAATGTATTATTTTGATATTTCGAGAACTTGGATGAAAGTTGGAACTATGATTTAGCTACTGTTTTAAGACTTTTATGATCAGTTATTACTTTGGAAAAATTCTGAAAATGTTTTGCGAAAATAATTTCTGAACGTTTTATTAATTGCTGATTTATGAACAGTTTTGCGAGCACTTTGCGAGTTATGTTTCGAGAGGCAAACGACCTCCGATTTACTAATAATTTATATGCATGCGAAGTCCTAGATGTACTCTTTCTATATAACAAAGAATATTTTTTTGAATCGTTGAACTTGATTTTATACGAATTTTACAAGACAGCAAGGTCTGTCAGGAAAGTTAGGAAATTCAGCAAGCTATGTATTTTTTTTAAATTGTCACTCTGAATTTTAGGAACAACAAGATTTCGACTCAAGTTCTTAATTGTAACTCAAAAATGATTTTTCAGTGTTTAAGTAATGACATTAGAACTCTAATCTGCTTAGCAAACAACTCTCTTGGATGCATACAAGGGAGTGTGTTACATCAATAAAAACCCAAACTTTAAATATATATCCATAAGAACCAAAAGTTTGAATCAAATTTAAACTTTTTTTAGATTTAAATCGTAGTTGGGATGTTTTTAGTAGTTAAAAATTTGATTTTTTTTTGAAAAAAAGTAATTTCTTGAATTACACTGAATCAAGGTCAATAAAATTTCCACCTTTAAATATCCACCCATAAGAACCAAAAGTTTGAATTAAATTTAAACTTTTTTAGATTTAAATCGTAGGTTAAGATGTTTTTAGTAGTTAGAGATTTGTTTTTTTTTTTTTTAAAAGTAAATATTTGAATTTCACTAAATCAAGGTCAATAAAATTTCCAACTTAAATATCCATCCATAAGAACCAAAAGTTTGAATCAAATTTAAACTTTTTTTAGATTTAAATAGTAGGTTGTGATGTTTTTAGTAGTTAGAGATTTTTCTTTTTTTTTAAAAAAAGTAAATATTTGAATTCCACTTAATCAAGGTCAATAAAAACCCATACTTTAAATATATATCCATAAGAACCAAAAGTTTGAATCAAATTTAAACTTTTTTCAAATTTAAATCGTAGGTTGGGATGTACATCACATAACATTATCATTGGTTGAAGTCAACATAGCAAAACATCACAAAACAATTTGAACATATAAAAAATGTCACTACAATAATCGAAAAAAAGAAATGTGACTTCAACATTTTGTTTAAATAACAACAAAATTTCTTTAAACATCTTCTCTCCAAGACACTAAATAACACTCTTCAGTCAGACAGTCACAGTAGGCCAATCTACGGGGTATTCTCATCTGCTTTTGCATCAAATCTATTCAAAAAAAGAAAGAAAAAATTCAATTATCAGCATTTTTAATCTGCGTAAGCAAATGAAATGGTTTTCACATATAATTAAGAAAAAAAAATGTCACTGAAATGAAAATACAAAAATAATTTAGAAATTACGTAACTATTTCTCAAGCTTTGTTTTTTTTGCAGTCCGAACAACTGAAAAATTAAATTCTCCAACAATGGAAACATGAGAATTGATCACCGGTTTCAACATAGTCAGAGAAGATATTGAATAAAAACAGAATACAGAAGTCAAAATTAAAATAACATTTTGTTTGGGAAAAACATACCCCTAAAACATTTGATCTTTCCCAGTTGAACTATTATGACGTTATGAGGAGTGTCACTGTTTGCCAAAAAAGACTGCACCTTATCCACATAATGCTCCCACAAAGTGCACTCCAGCTTGTGACCCCTACATATGAGTTGCAGGAGGAACAATGTCATACACGAAACATATAAGATAACAGAGAGCTCGTCAAAAAAAATGCAACAATTAAAAAATGAACAACACTAAATAAGAAGAGTCATATGTTTCTTTCTCAATGATGTCATAATCAACAAAATCAAATTCACTCGCAGAAATATTAGAATCAACAATTGATTTAACATCAGTCCTCAAGTTGAAAGACAAACGATATTGATGCTTGGTTGGCCTGAACACATCGCTATTGAATCCAACTCCAATTTTTTTTTTTATAGAATAGCACTCTCTTTCATGGATTTTCTTCCGCACCTGCAAAGAACCTTTGACAGTGGCGTGGATCCTACCACCCTACAAAAGAACGCAGCCAACTTACATCAATAAGTTAATTAAAATGATCAGAACAAAGACGGAAGATTTAAAAAACACACACAACTACCTGTTCATCCAATAAAACCATTTCAACATTGTCATCAAAATCTTTAAGTTGAAAGTTAGGAACTTTCCAAGCCCGAACCACTTTCACCTTAATCCTCCAGTCCTCCTTGGCAGGATTGACATCCTTCAAAAAATCATATTTTGAAAACATATTTTTTGTAAGACGAAAAAAGAGAGAAGCAAGAAGCGATTTCGTTGAGGAAGCAATGCGCAAACAACTGATATTTGGCATCAGCAAAAAAAGAAACAATAAACAGAAGCAACCAAATCGTCCCCAAGCGTTCGTATAGAATAAACAGAAGCAGATGTATTTTTTAAATTCTTTAACAAATCCAATGCAGAAGGAAGCTCAACATTAAATGAGTTGTCTGCCACCATTCTGAATTCAAAAATTAAATTTAAAATTGGGTAATGCTAAACAATTTGATAAATGCCAAAGAACAAAAGATAGGAGTCCAATTGACAAAACGAAAAATTGAATTAACAAACAATGGTATGGCTTTAAACAAAGCCATTGTGGGTAGGAATGAAAAGATTTCTAGGATTTTCTTTGAAGGTTTACGACAGCCTACCAGGGCACTTTCTCCAGTTCTTACGAACGTTGTTGTCTTTCTCTTTGTAAAGAACCTTGGGATACACCACCCCAAAAGCTAGCTCAAAGGGTGGGAGTGCCCAAGACCTTATAAACTCCACATTAGTTGCACATACAACCAATGTGGGACTATATATCTCAACACGCCCCCTCACACGAGAGCCCATTGGGCTTGAAGAGTGGACAATGCAACAGGCCCAACCTACCTGTGCTAAGAAACGCCACAAGAGAAAGTGGGGGACGGCGAGGCTCGAGAAAGTGGGGGACGGCGAGGCTCTGATACCATGTAAAGAACCTTGGGATACATCACCACAAAAGCTAGCTCTAAGGGCGGGAGTGCCCAAGACCTTATAAACTCCACATTAGTTGCACGTACAACCAATGTGGGACTATATATCTCAACACTCTTTCTGCTCTTCTGATTGAGAATAGGTACAAATATATTTAAGATATATACGCACAATAATCATTTTCTGTCACCAATAAGGTAAAGTCCAATAATTTAGAATTTTAAAAAATTGAACAACATACCTCAACATTCTGGGACAACATCTTCTTTTGCTGATCCTGCTGATATTGATGTTCTACAGTTGTGATCAATTGGTCTGTCATCTGTGTCATCGTGTAATTAGTTTATGAAGGAAAAATAGATTCATATGAAATATTTTAGATAATCTAACAATCAGTCTGTATATTTCAGACTTAATGGGATGAAAATTTTCATCGTTAGCTTCAATTGATAATGATAAACAAAAGCTTCTTCTAAGAATTCTTCTAAGAACAATCAGTCTGTATTTTTTATATTCTTTAAAAAATCCAATGCAGAAGGTACAGGGGACCCAAGCTTTTTGGGACATTGATTCTGTTGTATACATTGCAATATAGGACGTCCATATGGAGCTTGAGAGTCCCAAATGCATTTTCTTTTTTCTTTAACACAACGACTTGTAGTATATTCTAGTTGAGCAGTTAGCACCTGAGTGGATTCTCTGCTTAGTTGAATCCATTGTAGGATTCTTATGTATGAAATACCCTTCAGAACCTTCAAATCAGATAAAAAAGACTTATTTGAAATCTTCTTTGAACTGATGTTATGATCTAGACTAGAGAGACTGAATCATTCAAATTTTTATCTTTGTGAGTTTATATTTGTCGGTAAAAGTGCATCCATCATCTAATGTCATCATTGTCATCTAAAGCATTGTTCTTGAAAATTATCAATGATATTGATTCAGGAACTTTGGAAACATTTCTCCATAAAACGGGGTCCATTAAGAATATAAGTTGCTGCTTCTGTGGTGCCTTTCGATTTAGTAAAGCTGAATTCGTGCAAGGCAACCCTTATTTTTAATTAAGGATCTGCTGGTAAGCTAACTGTTGTAAGTCCTTATTTCTCCTATATTTGTAAATAGTTTATTTCAAGATTTTCTTCCACCCCACACTCGCTAGTCGGGTTTAACAGATGAGTGATTTTTTTTTTTTTATTTCAAGGTTTCTGCTTAGTTCATTGTTTTTTGTTTTTTTATTTTATTGTATTTTATTTTCATTATTCATTAGAACTTGGAAATAACATTAGTCATACACTGTCAGTAATGGTCACAAAAATTGGGAATAACTTTTTTTAAGCATTTTACCTAAGAAGTCCGTGTAAATTCTTGATCAAAACCTCATTTAATTGTGGGAAATAAGAGAAAATATTACTTAACTTTACGTCAATAGTTTTACCTCTTTCTGTCTGTGTTTGCTGAAAGAGGAAGACTTTATTTATTATTATAAGTAAGATCTCTGAACCATTATTTCTGTAAACAACAATTGTATATGAAGTGATTGGTTTTTCTTTTGCTCTTCTCTTAGTCTTATGTTCAAATTACAGAGTGGAACATACTAAATCCTATTATCACGTGTAACTAAATAGTGTCTTGAATTTCATTTATATGAATGAGTGTGGAAGATTTGATATCCTAAATTATCATTGACTAGTCTATCACTAAGTACCATTTCAAATATAGTTAAAATCTTGATTAGTTGTGCTGCAGGTGTTGGGAATCAGTAGTATCAAGAGTAGTGAGGGATGAAGAGGCAGTAAAGCAGAAGCTATGCGATGACTTAGAATGCATTTGTTTGAGCTTAATTTGCATGAAAGTTATTTATTTATTTAATATTGAATTTTTTAAACCATGTGGATAAGATTTTTAAAAAAATCAGAATATAAAATATAATTTGTTTTCTGCCTTTTTTGATAAGCTAGTAATTGTAACATTTTTTGTACAGAAATCTCAAAACCCAAACTCTAAATGACAACAGTTGTCACGGGATCCTCCTCACTGCTAGATACTACCACTTCATTCCGTCAATCGGTAAGATCTCAAATTTTTTAAACATAGCCTGATTTGCAAAATATTTTAGTCAGGATTTTTTTCCTCTTTAACTCTTGAAAATGTAATGATTTGATGAATTTTTGGAACTGATCGAGTATGGGGTTTTGGTTGATGTATGGTGAGCATATTTGTGTTATTTTGTTGAGTTGCTGTGTTTTGGGCTATGTGGTTTGCCTTCTATGCGTTCTTAGCTCCTTTAGTTAGCAAGATGTCTCAGTATGTTGCTATGGACCTCTACGTACTGCTTCGGACCCAATCTTCCACTTTTCTATGCCTTTTTAAACTTATTTTGCTGCTTTAAATATATAGTCAATGGGATGAGTTATATGATTGATTTGCTTTCTGATTAATGTGTTTGATTTCTTATGTATCTGTGATCTTTATCTCAAGTCCGGGTTCCTTCTCATTATATACCATACCATTCTTTTTTTTTTTTGTATATCAACAGAAACAAAAAACAGACACAAAACTACATCACTCTGACCAATCTAGGCCAAGCAACACCCCTTTGGTCCCTCCCTATTAGATCTATACACCCCTCTGGGGGAACATCAAAAAAGAAAGTATCCCAACCAAAATCATGAGCTAACCCAGCCAAATAATCAGCTACACTATTAGCTTCCCTATACACATGAGCTAATTCCACCTGCCAGTCGAAATTCAGCAGCTGGTTAATTTTTTGCACCAAAAAAACCAGAGGATGGTTTGAATCACATCCCTCCTTGACAAGCTGCAAAGCCACCTGTGAGTCTCCTTCAAGAATCACCCTTCTATACCCTTTGTTCCAAGCTAGTAAAAGGCCCAAATAAAGACCCCACACTTCCGCTTTAGTAGAACTGCCTCTTCCTAAGTTTTTTGTAAATCCCATAATCCAGCAGCCCATGTCATCTCGTAGCAGACCACCACACCCACTCTGAGTGTTATTGCTTCTTGCTGAACCATCAATATTGATCTTAACCCAGCCAGGATGAGGAGGGTTCCAGCGAATCATCACTTCAGACTTAGGACTGCTTCCTATCCCAGCCTTCCTGTACATTGCATTTGCCTCCATATAGTTGGACAGTAACAAACTAGATCCTCTAGCCAAAGTTTCCACACTTGAGGTTTGATTCTCAAAAACCAAACTATTCCTATCTTTCCAAAGAGACCAGCATATAATACCAAACAGGATATGCCCACTGTCACCCCCCACACAGCTCTTCTTTTGTAACAAATTAGATTGTAACCATTATGATAAGGGCATATTAAAAAATACACCCCAGAATTTAGAATCTACAAAAACTTTCCACACAGAATTTGCCCAACCACAATCCCTCAAAACATGAGTACAATTTTCAGCAAACAAATTACATCTAGGACAAACCTCAGATTCTGACATATGTCTCTGCATCCGTCTTTGATTTGTGAGCAATTTTTCCCCAAGAGCAAGCCAAAGAAAAGTCTTTATTCTAGGAGGCCCTCCCCAGTCCCAAATAAGACTCCAATTCAGATTATCCTGCAAACTGCCATCTGTATCACAGTTTTCAAAAGCTGATTTAATAGAAAATTTTCCATCATGGGAAAAATCCCAAATGACCCTATCCTCCCCATTCGAAGGGTTAGGAGGACAAATACCTGCAACATGATCTGAGGCTTCTCTCGTGATTAGGTGGCCAAACTTCAACCAGTTCCAATCTCCATCCTCCTTTACCATATCCCCAACCTCACATCCCAATAAATCTGCTGGAACTTCATGAGTGGTAAGATCTTTCAATGGCCCAACAGATAACCATTTATCATTCCAAAAGGAAGTGCCCTTCCCATTACCCACCATAACTCTGGAACCATTCATAATTTGAGGCCACACTCGAACAATTCCCTGCCATAAATTGGAAGTACCAGGCTTCTTAACTATGTTTGGAATCAAAGTCTCCTCCATCTTGTATTTACTCCTTAACACTTTAGCCCATAATTGATCCTTCTTAGTGAGGAGACCATGAGCAACCTTCATGATACAAGCTTTGTTTGTTTGTCTAAGTCCCCTAATACCCAAACCACCATTTTTCTTTAGTTTACAAACAAAATTCCAAGGCAAAGCATGAACCTTCTTAACTTCCCTATCAGAACCCCACACAAACCCCCGAATCTTTTGCTCAATAAGATCACAGGTTCCCACTGGAATGAGTGCTGTCTGCATAGTGTAAACTGGTAAAGCCTCAAGGACAGATTTGGTTAGAATCACTCTCCCTGCAAGAGACAAAGTTCTCTGTTTCCAAGCATTCAACTTATTGCTAGTCTTCTCTAGGATGTGCCTAAAAGTGTTTTTGTTAACTCTTTTATGCAGGACAGGCACACCTAAATATTTACCCAAGTCTGCTGTAGAGGAGTATTTCAATATCTGACCAAGATCCTTTCTTCTAATGTGATTCATATTCTTTGAATAGAACACCTTAGTCTTGTCCTCACTGACTTTTTGGCCCGAAACCAAGCAAAACTGAGAAAGAATTCCAGTAACCATCTCAGCTTGATTAATCTCTGCATCCATAAAAAGCAGGAGATCATCCGCAAAAAATAGGTGAGAAATGGGAGGACCCCTCTTGCCCAACCTCACAGGCCTCCAACTCTTCTGATCAACAGCATTATTAATTAAGTGACCCAATCTCTCCATGCACAAGACAAATAGGTAAGGAGATAAGGGATCTCCTTGCCTAACCCCTCTCTTGGGTCTAAACTCCTCTGTTTGAAAGCCATTCCACAATAGGTTCATGGTTGAGGTTGACACACAAGCCATGATAAGCCTAATAAGGGAGTCTGGAAATCCAGCCACCACAAGAGTCTCTTGAAGGAACTCCCAACTTAATCTGTCATATGCTTTCTCTAAGTCAACCTTTATCGCCATCCACCCTTTAGTTCCTTTCTTATTCCTCATAGAATGAAAGATCTCCTGAGCAATGATAATATTATCTGATGAGTGTCTACCTTTCACAAAACTACATTGATTTGGCATGACCAACTCACACAAGTGGTTCCTCACCCTCCCTGCAACAATTTTTGTAACCACCTTATACACCACATTACAAAGGGAAATAGGTCTAAACTGGCTTATCAATTCGGGGCTGTCAATTTTGGGAATCAAACAAATAAGAGTTTGATTAATCTTTTCCACCTTGTTAGGCTCCTCAAAAATTTCTTTTATCCACCTAACCACAGTTTCTCCCACCTTATCCCATTGAGATTGAAAAAATATTGCATGCAAACCATCCA